CTAAGATTGAACATATCCTCTCATAGCTCAATCTCAAGGACTCAGATCACGATCCTGCACAGTTCAATCACCAAAAACGTAAAAACAAGCCACAATCAATCGTATTCCACACAATCCTAATCCGAGAGCCTATGGTCACGCACTCACCTTTGCAAACGGATTGAAACGAGGAAACAAGGCACTTCCGACACGACCCGAACAGAAGGAAATAACTCGCCACTCCCTTTACCAAATCAAGGTCTGAAACCTGATCTGGAAACTAGACACCAAGAGCTTCGCAACGGTGTATAGAATGTCTCCAAATAGATCGACGGAAAAACAGCCCGCAATCTCGCTAATCGAAACTGGAAAAACAGAGATTTCAGAAACAACACCCTGAAATAAAACGAACACAGAGAACGGAGATTACCTCCAAATCAGGATCCGAAACCTAATACGAAAACTAGACAGAGAGATATTTCCAACGGCATAAAGATCGTCTCCTGATTCTCTCTGGTTCGACGGGAATCCTCCTTCGAAGTAGACTGATCGCAGACTCGAGACTGCTGAAACCTCACACAATCCAACGGCCATAACTCAGCGAATACTCATCCAAAAGGCACGCGGTTTTCACCCACATCAAGAGCAAAGATAGGAGAACTTACCCTCAAAGTTTCACTCTGATCCGATCCGATCTTCCCCGCCAATCATCTCCTCCAAAAACCCGAGCAGAACTGTTTCTCTCTCAAGAAAAACACTTCTCTCACAAAACTCTCTAAAACTCTTTCTCTGATCAAATTCTCGGCCAACCCCAAGAGAAAACGCTTTTCTCTGCTTAAATACGGAACCCTAGGTTCCCTAAACCAACCCAAACCAAACCCGATCAGAAATCAAAACCACACGGTCCAATTTAAGCATGTGTCGCTTGACACAAACCTCTTGTGTCGCTTGACACAAACCTCTTGTGTCGCGCAACACAGCTCCAGCAAACAGATTCCTTCGTGAATTAAACACACGTGTCAAATGACACACAACCAAAAATCACATTTTTGGTTCACGGGCGTTACATATAAAAAAAGACAATTGCAAAAATGTCACTTTTAGTGTGTCACTTTGCAAAAATGTCACAATGGGTTGTTCATTTGCAAAAATGCCACT